GGGGGGGGGCAGAATCAGAATTACTTAACTGACCTTTCCATTTTGCATAAAGGTTATTCTGTCCTGAAATCAAAGATATGAGAGGGTTTATAATGCAAGTTTATTTTCACAGTAATCCTCAAACTCTATGGAAAATTAGAAGGAAAAAGTATTCTCATCTGAATGTGTTTGGCGAAAAATTGTGGTCAATTGCTTGATTTAGTTTGTTGCTACAAAAGCTTTCACTTTTATCTTGCCCTTTTCGTATAAATTGCGCTGTATCTCTTAGGCAGCATGGTTGGTAGAGGTGCTTATTGTAGTGGGAATATATTATTCTACATTGCTTTATTTGCATTTATGAGATCAGATGTGAAAAGTCAGGGTATACATGTTGCATTTTTCAGTGTGTATCAATAGGATTCCTAAGAAAAAATAATGTAGCATCTTACAGATGTTTCGTAACATGGTGAAGTACAATCTAAAGTAATTCTATTATTGACTTTCTTTTTTTCTCCTGTAAATCTCATTATCCCAAAGATTCATGCTGATTTTTCTGCTGTGAAAAAGTTTGGTATCAGAGGGAGGTGGAATAAGAATTGAAGGATGTATTCAGAAGAGAAAAATTGTGAAGTTTACAAATGCAGGGAAACTCCAGTCTGAATTACTGTTTTTAGGCTATGGCTTCCCACAGGGGTAAGCCTACTGGATATTTCTATAAAGTTTTTTTGATTTAAACATGGGACCAATCCTTCAGGAAGCATCACAAGGGTAACACCCTACAGAAGGGATGCATTCTCACGTTTATGGTATTGTGTTGGTTTTCAGTTGAAGTCTGACTCCTATTGCTTATTTAAAATCTGCTTCATTGCCTTCTGTGCCCTTAGATAATGTTGTGTTTGAGTGCTCAGTTTTATATCTTTCCTTCTCTTCTGTCATATTTGCCATTTCCAGCAGGTGTATGACTGGAAGGGCTCTTTGAAAGCCTAAGTTACATCAAAGGCTTTGCAGACTTGCGATCTACTTTTATACATCTGTTTATTTGATATTTCTTTACAGTGACCTCCAAGGACTATTAATAATTTAATATTACATTGTCCATTTGTGTTAAAACTTGGTTCACAAAAAATTAAAATGTCTGAATGCTTTTCTTGCAAGGTTGGCTTTGTTCTTTTTGATGTACTTCATTGTGTTTCCTCCTTAGGACCTGAGAGAAAGTTACAGCACACAGCAATTAGCCTTGGAGCAGCTCCATAGGATCAAACAGGACAAAATAAGAGAGGTGGAAAAAAGAAGAGCTGAACTTGCACAGAAAAAGCGACTAGAAGATGAGGCTGCAAGGTACCTGATACTGAATGTATCATTGTTGCAGTTTTTAAAGCAAAATAATGCTGTGGTGGCTTTTAAGATGCTGATTGTATTAAATGAGAGGTCTAATCAGTCAAAATATATCCTATTGAGTTCCCTTAAAGGAAACGTTTTATGTGGAGTACCACTGGTATAGGATGGTTTGAATTTACTCTTTCCAGTCTGTTTTTATCTTCTTCTTATAAAAAACCCCAAAACTTATAACTGAGTTTTGATGGATAAATAAACCAAGTAGTCACTTTGCTATTAATATTTTTGCTCCTTTAATAGATAATCCTCACACATTTAAAATTCCTCATACTTTCTGGCTTGTTTTGCTAGCCTTGGAACATCTGTCCTATTTCCTTACAAATACTTCTGACTGAGCAGTTAATAGACTTTTGTTATGTATATCCAGACAGTTGTGAGATTGATACTTAGGACAACAAGAAGGTAATTGACTGCTTAATTCTGCTGTTAATCTTAAAAGCTGGATGAGTGAGTGAGCTTTGAGTTTTAAATTTGGTTCCTTTTTATAGGAGGACAACAAGGAAGTTCAGACACATTTTTAAGAGGATCATCCCTTCACCTATATGATGCTGGTTTTGTTCAGCCGAGCTTTGTATCGAGCACTCAAACTTTTACTGTCCTTAGCTCTTAGTTTCACATGGTCTTGTTCCCGACTAGTTTCGTTTTCTTTTGTTTCACTGATTAGGAAACCATAGTTTATAGGGTTTGATTCTGGCTGTCTTAAAATGACAGTCTGTTTTTCCTCTCTCCAGACCGTCTGTGATCCGCTACTTGTTTTGGGTTTAGCAGCTCTGGGTTGAAATAGTGCCAGAGAGCATGGATGAATGCTTTTAGTGACAGTCCTCAGATCAAAATTGCTCTGATGTACTAGTTTTGACTTCTCATTTAGAGAATTGCTGTGTTTTCTCTTTATAATTTGAGAGAGGTTTTCAGTGATTTGTATTTGCTTTGACTGTTTTTAATAAAGCAAAGCTAGTGACCTTGTAGTATCTGCAATTCACAGTCTCAAGACAGCATTGTTCTACAACAGTGTGATGGAGTTTTGTAACAATTGTGACAGTTCCTTTAAGAGAACCATACACTGTATGTATAGGGATATCCCATTAATTTTTCTTTTGAACATAGCTATATGATAGAGTAAAAACATTTCTGCACAGCTCCCACTAGATCTTGTCCTTGAAAACACAATAAAATGACCACCAGACAAGTCGACCTCACAGTGATTTGATGAAGCAGTCTCCTCTGGGTATGGTCCCTCCTCAACAACCTCTTCAGATGATGGCCCAAAGGGTTAGATCTGCACTTTTCAGAAGAAAGATCTTTACAGCTAAAATACAATTATTTTTAAGCATATTGAATTGGGTAGTAACTTCTTTGGAGAGGTGAGGCACAGGATAAAATCTGAGTAATTTCAGAGAATACAGTCAGGTTTCCAGATTCTGTCTGCTGAAGAGTGTGGCTGTGGTGAGCAGAAGTGTATTGAATGGATTACAACTGTCAAAGGCAAAAAATTTTAGCAGCAAAGATCAGTAGGCAAAGGCTATTTTTTTCTGTATGTACCAGAGTGAATTTTTGTTACTAATCTGTTTGGAAATCATAGTCTCATAGGTTATAGAATGGTTTGGACTGGAAGGGACCTTAAAGCTCATCTAGTTCCAACCCCCTGCCATGGGCAGGGACACCTTCC